TTGTGATTTTCTTGTTGTAAGTAAAACAGCAACAGGCAATGGAGCACACAGTAAGAGAAATGGATATCGTTACATTAATCACAAACAGAGTTCAGTTACAGTATGGTACGTCAATGCTACAAAATGAATTGATCATGGGATCTATATATTATATACATAGCAGTGATGCACTGTGATGAGCCCAAACTAATAAATATACAAAAGATATGGAAACCAACAAAAGCCAGAAGAGAGTTATCTTTTCCAGAGTCCTAAATGTTGCATTTTCCATCTGATTAAGAGTGTAATAACTGTATAAAGAACTTAGCAATAGTATTCTGGTTTGATTGGGAAATGGCTCATCCTTAGCTACAAGCAAGTGCCTTTTGGTCTAGAAGGATTTATTTCAAGTGGTTGAGAATCTCCTTTGTTGCAGCCTTGTATCTCTAAGGGATTTTTTTGGGGGGGGGGGGTTCCCATCCCTTCCAAGTAACAGCAGAAGATGTGTCATTGATCGTCAGAGGTTCACTGTTTTTAATATTTTTCAAGGGATTTTCTTTTCATAATAATAAGTAGCAATCTCAATAGAGGCATTTCAGTTAGAAAGGTTTTACAGTCAAAATGTTACATCTGCAAATAGCTGTTCTGAATTTTTTTTTTTAATTGCATATTTTAACCTTCCACATTTCAAGTTTTGCACATAATTCTTTTCCCTATTCATTTTAACATTGCAGTCTTCTCTGGCTGAGTGCTGTTTTCTACTTTTTTCCCAATTCTAAAATGAATAATGGTTTGGTTAATTTAAGTTGTTCCTTTTAAAGAACCTCTTTAAACCTTCAGTGAAGAGATGTCAGACCAATTCTTTGTTATTACACTTAGTTGCCTCCTAGCTATATAACTTCTGAGTGTAAATCATTGAACTTTACCCTCTAATGAAGTATTGTAGAAAATAAATTGTAATGGATACATTTTTATCTTGTCCCTTTTTTATTGGAGTCTGTCCGTTTTGACTTTTCACACTGAAATCTTCAAATTCTTTTTCTAAAAAAAATAAATTGAAATCTAAAACAGACAGTGGCAAAATCAGCATGAAATGGGTGGGAATCTTTAGCAATATTGTGTTTTACAAGATAAAGTCTCAAAAAGAATAAGATTGGACATTTTGTTAAAAAAATAAAATAAAGCCTTCATGTTTGTTTGGCTGTGGTATTTTGTCTTGTGATCCATACAGAATATTGAGTGATGGGCCATGCCTGTATGTTTTTTCTCCTTTGATAAACAAGAACTGAGCTGCTTATTCCAGCAAGTAATGCTGGTATCTATGCAAAATGTTTTTAAAATAAGTATCACTTTAGCCAGTAAAGTTTAGTTCTGTCCTTTTTAGTTTATCTAATACAGCAATATATTAGTTGAAAATGAAGGATGAGCATATATATCAAACTCAATAGGTAGACGGCACTCCAGTACTTTCTGTTGGTAATAAATAGTAGTATTGGTCCCATATCATTACCTTACTTAATAGATTTTTTAAAAATTAAAACTTTAACCTTATATTTACCTGGGAATAAATACTACTAAGCTCAAGATTTTCTTTTGACAAATCTTTCATGTTTGTGCTGTAATAATGCAATATTTCACCATTCAGAAAGGTAGTTCTCTTTTCTTTTACATCACTTCAAATGAAAAGTGGCAGAGGTTTATTTTTCCTTCTATGGCATAGAGCCAAAATATAATATTTTAATGGGCCCTCAGTGCACTTCCATTCCTGGAAAACTGATTTTAAATTAGAAGAGTTAAATGTTGAAATCATTTTGTGATTTCAATACGTTTAGTGCTCTTGAATAATTAACATGGGAAGAGAATTAATTTAAGAATAGGATAGATGTGCTTCTACTGAACTAGTAATATAAATTACTGTACATATTCATGCTGTCCATTCTTTGAATTTATAACTTTTCTACTACAAACCACAATGTGCATCTGGAATTTGTACCTTAAGCAACTTGATTTGGGTTCATGCATCACACTGACTAAGTTGAATAAATTGTAATGGTCTGGCTTATAAGGCTAAGCAGTAAGCATGTTTTGCAAACCACACTGGTTTAATACATAACATACCAAAAAATAAACAGTATGGCTTAGTGCACTATGTGAACCCAGCCTTTGCTTTAAGCTTAGATTTAGATAAGCCATTCAGTTATAAAATGATTAGCTATTGAATTTTTTTATTTGCAATCGTAATGACTGGCTGCTTTAGCACAATATAATGACCTAAAGCACACAAACCCCATTATTATATGGTTAGGGAGATTGGTGTGGCTCATTGACTTAGGATCAGGATAACCTTGAAGTGAGGCTAGAATCCTCTGTATTCAAAATCAGTGCTTTTATTCAATGAAATTGCCTAAAGCTGCTGACTTACATGAAAATAAACATCATGAATTTCGGCTAAAAACCTACATGTTTATTACAGAGGAACTTGTCTGAATAAATTGGGACTTCTGGTTACTTTGTCAGATTAGTGGTATAATAGTATATTTATGAAGCAGTAACTGTATTACAGTAACACATTTATCAAGTTACAATGGTGTATCTATGTGGATTCTTGAAAATTGTTAAACTGACTACATCTAGTGAAGCATTATGTTTTCTTGTACACAGATAATATTTAGGCTTACATGTGATAGGGGGGATGTCTTGGAGTCATTCTTGACTTCTGGTGACCTCAGTTTCTTGGCAAGATTTTCAGAAGCGGTTTCCCATCATCTTATGGCTGATGTTGTAGGAGCTGTGTTAATGCATGATGGCAGAAAAATGAAAGCCTATTGGGATGTTTTCTAACAAATGTTATTAAAACGCATAAGCTTTCACGAGCTGCAGTTCACTTCATCTGATGCATCTGTTTAGCCACTCTGTGCATTGGAAAGGAAAACTCATGCCTTTTAATACAATTGTTAGTCAGAAAAAGTGACTGATCCAAAGTGACCCAGGTGGCTTTGTGGTAAGGCAGGACTAGAACACAGAATTTCTGTTTCTAGTCTAGTGCCTTAAATCACTACACCAGACTGGCTCTTGTGTAAGCATAACCTCCCATTTGGTGTTCTTTAAATGTATGAGACTACATAATCCACTGGATTACTGGGAATTCTGAATGTTGTAGCTTTACACAAAATCAAGCAATCAATTTATTTATTGTTTTGAACCCCTGTTGTAACAAATAAGATAAAACCTGCACAAAAGTGGCCAAACTTTAATAAAATACATTAAAATATACAAAAATCAGTAAAAACATACTTTGCTTTACTTCTAATATTTTACAGCAGGTAAACATAAGGAACTTTTGATAAAACATTCTCTCTGTTTAGCAGCAGCCCGTGCAAAGCTCGCTAGTTTCTGTAGCAGCGTCTCCTTGTCTAAATTCATTAGATATTTAATTTTATATGAATCAGGCCAAAATTATTTTCTTATCAAGAGGGCTCCAGAAATTTTCCACGTGCAGAAATAAGGCAGTATTAATAATGGATAAAATCTTCTATAATTTCCTTGGAGCAAGGGCAGAAGAGCATATTATATGGGATATTGTCTAACTGAATGTGGAAAAATCGAAGGTGGTGGTATTTGGGGGAAAAAGGAAAAGACACAAATGGAGAATTGGGGAATATAATATAGAGCAAGTTCTCTCTTACAGATACTTGAGCATCCTTTTTAATGCTTCGAGAGGCAGTTGGCACTCTCACTATCAGGCCCAAAAAGTAAAAACTGAGGAAGCTTTGGCAAGAATAATAGTTCTGGCATACAAGCGGTGGTCAACAAATTCCTCCAATCCTAACTCTTCTAAAAACCAAGTTAGTTCCTTACTTTTCCTATATAGTAGAGTTTTGGGGAATTTCTACCCCTTATATGAAATTCTTTCAAAACAAGCTCCTCAGAACTGCTTTAATAGTAATAGTACTCCTATCCCCTTTCTCTATGCAGAAACTGGCACATACCCAATTAAAGCTAGAATAATTGTAAGGGCATTTAATTATTAGGCTAGACTCCTCTCACTACCTGATCCCCAACTTGTCAAGCAGTGCCTTTCTCCGCTCCTTGCACCAGTTGGTTTACATTTTTATTCCAGTCATATGCATATCTTTGGCTTTTCTCTGGAATTCTTTTAAATTCAAATAATGCAAACAATAATCTATTATTTAAAAACAGGGTGATGAATGTCTTTGCCCAAAGAAATTTGTTTAAATTATCACAAAATAAAATTGCCCCTTGGTACGCATTTCATAAAACCAAAATCGAATGCAAACATTATCTGAAGTGTGTTATAGTGCCATCCCTCCGAGAAGCACTTACAAAACTACAGTCCTGCAAATGGCATCAGCAACTAGAGAGGGCTGATTTCACAATATCCCGTATAATATGCTTTAGGCACTAACTCAGACTGTATCCTTGTCCTCTCTGACACTGGTTGAGCTGAAGGCTCCCCCTTTACCCAGTCCTTTCAGATGGAGATGTCAGGCAGGAATTATATTCGAAGCTTTCTGCAAGGAAAGCAAATCCTGTG